CCACTAGGGTGTTATTGAATCCCATTCAGCTGTTCTTTAAAGGCCACACAGAACATCTGTCAACCAAAAATATCATGAAGACCAAAGAAAACAGCAGACCGCTAAGGATGAATGTTGTGTTGATATTTAAAGTAAAGCAGAGTAAAGATTTGGTATAATATCCCCAGCTTTGAACATCTCCCAGAGCACTCTTTAATTCATTACCTAGGGGAGTGTTTGCCTAGTGGGTTAGAGCAGTGCGCTTGTGCTCTTAGAAGGTTGCACACACTTGGTTCGATCTCCACAGTCTCCACTCTGGGTTCCTGAGCAAAAACCTTAACCCCACACTGCTCCCCAGGCGCCACGCAATGGCAGCCCACTGCGCCCCAAGGGGATGGGTTAATTACACACTAGGATTTTTCCATTGTGGGACAATAAAGGAATTTACAAAACAAAAAGAATATGAAAGAACTGAAAATTAATCAAAACAGGTGGGTCTAGCTAACCGGACAGGCCAGAAAAGGAAAGTATTAACCAGACACAGAGAAAGTAGGCCCATGCTAACTCTCACGTGGGAGATTCTGTTGACAAGACACCTTTTAGTTCTTCCACAATCCAGTCCATGTGAATAAAAGGCAAACCGCGCTGAAGGAAAACCACAGGGACAGGTAAGCTGCGTGAGGTAACGGGAATGTGGATGGAGGGAACAACATGTCAATCTTTGAAGAAAACCTGAAAGGGTACAAAAGTTTTCAGCCTGGGGCAGAGGTTTACCTTCCAACAGTATACCAGCCATAAACTACAGTGGGCAAAATAGTATTTATTTGGCTGTTATTGCAGAAATAGAAAAATGAAAATGGTCTGTATTTTATTATGAGAGACAAAAAGAAAAAAAAATCCTGGAAATTACACTGTGGGATTTTTAAAGAGTTTTAAAGAACAGAAAGTTAAACCTATAGTGAAGGATGTTCTTTTTCCGGGTGGATCATCAAAATAAAAGGTCTTCATAATTGTCAGTCATGCTGGTGATATGTTTATGTAAGGCTCTCATGAATACTCATTCCAATTTTCACTTAGCCCTATTCTAAAAAATACATGGCTACCGAGAATTACCTCCAACAGCACCGCAAACAGATTGAAATGTGAACAAAAAGGGAACATTTAAACATATTGTTTTCATCTTTCTTATGCATGGATGCCCTACCATTTAGACTTATGGTGGACAGATAAATTCAACTGAATATGATTTTCACTTGTATGGAGACACGTTTTAGTCGATGTGCACAGTCGGTGTCCGATGAATATGTTCAGTGGATGGGAATTCACACCTTTAAGAACCTTCTCTGTTCTGTACTCATTGCCCATATTAGGGGAATCTGTTTAAACTAATTTTCTATGTAAAAGACACCCATCCATAGCCACAAACTCCCAACTCAACAATGGTGAAGACCAAAAAGCTGTCCAAGAACACCAGGAAAAGCAACTGTAAATCTTCACCAACCTGGGAAGAATGAATCCACAATATTAAGCAATCTGGGTTCAATAAAGCAACTGTTGGAGCAAATGGAAGAAAATCAAAAACATACAAAACCATTAATAATCTACCCCAATCTGGGGCCCTATGCAAGATCTTATCCCATGAGGTCAAAACGATCATTAAGGAGGGTGAGTAAATTTCCTATAACAACTCAGAGGGACCTGATGAAGGACCTGCAGGATACTGGGGCCAAAGTAACAAAAGCTATCATCATTAACACGCTCAAATCCTTCACTGCTAGGCATGTCACCCTGCTTAAGCCAGTACATGTCCAGGCTTATCTTAAGTTTGCCAGAGACCATATGGATGATCCACAAGAGAACTGGTTGTATATCAGGAAGTCGGATGAAACCAAAATAGAAGTTTTGACTCAAACTCAACTTGTTATGTTTAGAGGAAGAAAAACGCTCAAATTAATTCCAAGAAAACCCTCCCTACTGTGAAGCATGGGGGTGGGGACATCATACTTTGGAGCTTTTATGTAAAGGGGAAATGTTGACTGATCCTTGTAAAGAAAGAACTAACAGGGAAGGTACATTTCTGTGTGGATCAGACATCCCTCTTGTTTGTGCGTCCCAAATACCTATTTTCTACAATAATTGGCAGATAAATTGTTTAAAGATTCTATGATGTGATTTCCCCTGATTTTTTTTTTCTCATTTAGTTTCTCATACTTGAAGTAACAGATTATTAAAACTATGGACCTCTCTCATTCCTAATGCTTTTTAGACTGTACGCAATAGAAGCAGCAAAAAAGTCCAGCCTGCTGCTTAATTTTTGATGCTTGTAAACATTAAGGTCCGAAGCGTCCTATAAAGTGTGTCCAGATGCGTCTGATGCTTCTGCTGCTCCTGTTTTCAATGGCAGAGAGGTGCTTTGCTATATTTGCTGTTATGAGTAAAAAGTAGTTTTTAATATATTTTTAAATGAGAAAGTTGAACTCAAAACTTCATCTGTGTAGTCAGTTTATCATCATTACTATCCTGCCTTCAAATATTTCGCTGTCAGAAGATCACAAAACCGCCGTACATTAGTGGTGCTCTGTCACTGGAAATCCTGTTAATCAGGTGCCTCTGGCCCGGTCGCCTCTTGGGGTTTTTCCGCTACTGTTTGTGGCGGCTGGAAGGAGATGTTAGCAGTTTTCACATATGCTATCCAAACTGCAGGCACCAGAATGATAAAAGCAAACATATTTTGCCAGCAAGTTTCAACATTTTAAGTTAATTCAGGCATTAATAAACAGTTTCAGAGGAGTGATCATGGTGATCTGCGTCAGCAGTGCTGTTTGTTTCTCTCTCCCTGCCAGCTCCCAGATCAACTTCTCTGATTGGTTGATGTGGTGCGGAAATTTATGATGTGGTGAGGAAATTTATAAGGAAATTTTCTAGATGTACAAACTTTTAGCTGCAATCCAATAAAATAAAGGGAACTTTGTAGAGTTAGCACACATGTTGTATAAATCCTTTCTCAATACCAAAAGCTATTTATATTGAAATGTAGAGAAAGTGAGTTTAGAAACTGGGAAATTATAATTAAAAGCTAAACTTCCTTCTTCTTTCTTATTCTCATTGAGTCTATGTTACACTCTTATCAATTTTTGCATCATTTGAACACTCCTTTTTCCCTACATGCTCCTTTTTTCTCAATGTGAATGATTTCCCAGTGGTGCAGAGAGAGAAGAATGAATGGTGTGGGCGTGCAGATGTCGAGCATTGCAGCACACTGCTGACTGTGTCCTCTGTGCTGCAAAGAAAACAGGGACAAGCTGTGAATTTATGCAGATATTTACAGTAGATTAGACAAAGTAAAAAGTCTTTTCTCGGAGTGATTGTATGCATCTTTATCTCATCTTTCTCTTTTCAATGGCGACTGTTCCACAGTTTCTATAATGCCTGTACTTTTTTTGACAGAAGATACAGAATGGTGGGCCATGCTTGCATCATTTCCCCCCCTAATTGTTTTCAGACTGAAGCTGGAAAATTGTATATGATGTAAGAAGGTAGAAAGGATGGCCTGTGGTATTCCATATACAATCTTCATCTTTTTATAGTACCGGTAATTCCAAATATAAATCCATGCCAGTCCAGTACTGTGCCAAGACAAATTATTATGCACTTGGATGGTGGAAGAAATTTTTTTTATTATTATTATTAATAAGAGCCTTAAAGGTGTGGTGCATATTTGGGGGGTTTACCTTATAGCTAATGTCCAATCTGATTGAGCTACAGCTATTTCCCACAGAAGAATAGAGAATTATGAACAAAATATAAGCAACTGGTTTAACTGGATTTTGTTTTTATGAAAGGATGCAGAACACTTTAAAGTTTTACAAATAAAACCAACAATTTTATTAATTTTTTTGCCAAATACAAATTTACAGTATACATTTTTACTTTATAGTGTTCTGTCATATAAAATCCTAATAAACTGGATAATTTTTTTAAGGAAGAGGATTAGGGCAACTGAAAACATAAAAACAGATAACTGATTTTCAGATTCCTGACTTTGATCTCAGAATTCTGAATTTAATGACAGAATTCCGATTTTTTTTCCTCAGATTTTGACTTTTTTCTTAGAATTCTGACTTTAATCTCAGAATTCTGACTGAATTCTGACAGCTAACAAACATGTTACCATCAAATCATAACCATGTCTGTTTTAGAGACTTAACTAGCTCTCTTTTTTAATCACCTTCTTCTCTTTCATTTATGAAATAGCATCACCGTCAGCACATAAAAAGTCGTCTAGTTCTGTCATTTTCCACCAGTGTGTTACCGGCCCTCCCAAACAACTCACATCTTTGTCAATGAAGCTGTGTACTCCCACATCTCTTCCTTTATGGTGCCCATCTACATTAAGATCCAAAATTCTGAGATTAAAGTCAGAATTCTGATTTTTTTTTTCCCATATTAAACAGAAATGATATTTAAATAATCAGTTAACTCTTTTTATTTTTTCTGTGGCCTGTTCCGTAATTTTTTTTAGCTGAAAATGCAAAAAAAATGTAAAAAGGTGTGAGTTCAAAGGATGGGAATACCTTTTTAAGGCAATGTATGCACTGTAGCATGTATGCCCCTGGATTCAAGCTTGGCTGGGAGGCCCAGCTGGAGCTCAGCTGCACTTGCTGGCACTAATTGCACATTCATCATGTATATTGGCTTAATTAGAGCCAATTAGAGTCTCTGTTACCTCAAATACAAATATGAAAGAAGACAAGTAAAGAAGAAATGCATAAAGAAATGTCTTTATAAACTGCTAAGTTAAATAAATCATAATAAAAAAATGATTAAATATGTAAACAGGTGTGTCTCTGTCCCTCTTGATACTGTCTTGAGACTGTCTAGAGGTTGAGAGAGAAACTGCTCCAGGAATGCCCTTTCGCGCTGGGTCTTACTGTATCTGTATAGCGATGATGTAACTGCCTGCTACATTAACACTGGCCTCCGTACGGATCAATAACGCCTTGTCATATGCCATGTTCCAGTGTGATCAGCAGAGCCCCAGGACTGAAGCTGGTGGTGGAGACCCTGATGTCATCGCTTAAGCCAATCGGCAACATTGTGGTGATCTGCTGTGCCTTCTTCATTATCTTTGGAATCCTTGGAGTACAGGTGAGAGGAAATGATGCTACATCTGCTTGAGATAGTTATTACTCACAGTTTGGCTCATTACATCATAAAAGGACATTAAAGCTTCCTTATGTTCCGTAAGTTCATCTAATTTTAGCTTTTAAATTTGATCTCTTCAGTATATTTTATTCATAAACATTAGTATTTACTCATTTGTTTTAAGCTTGAAGCTATATTACTGATCGTGCAAGAACCCACTTTAACCTTGGAGCAGCTTGAGCTCCTATTTGTTCTCTATCACTGTGTTAATGTCCATAAACCATCTGTGCAAGTTAAGCCTCTGAGCAATTTTGGCTGAGGGTACTCACCTAATTTTCAATCCCTTTCTATTCCTAGATGAATATTTTTTAAGTACATTAGGGAAAATATTTTCTAAAAAAAGTGGTTGATGAACTCTATAGGCTTCCCCATGTATTGCCTGCTTCATAACCAAAAACCCACCACCTTTTCTGGGGCATGCCCTAATCAGAGATCCTATTAAATTTCAACTTCCAGTACTGATTTTCGTAGAAGTAATCCTTTACTCAAATGGCTTTCTTCAACTGGATACAACAACCAAACTAAACAAGTGTAACGTTGCTTTATTTTATTTTTTGTTTGTGTTTCCAAAGCTTTTCAAGGGAAAGTTCTTTATTTGCCAAGGGGAGGATGTGAGGAACATTAAAAACAAGACTGCCTGTTTACAAGCCGGGTACGAGTGGTTCCACATCAAGTACAACTTCGACAACCTGGGGCAGGTAGGTCACCAAACCTGCTGAAAACCTAAACATAGGCAGACATATGAGTAGTTTACACAATCAGATCATTAAAGCAAAGTCATTAAGTTTAAAACAGTTTATTGGGTAGAATATTTGACTTTCTGCCACTCTGCTTTTTATGGAGCAACACTAGCAGCTTAGCAAATCAATACTAGCTGCTTTTAATTAGTTGGGCTATAACCAGCTTGTAATCAACAGCTTAACGTGATGCTGCTATGGCCACCGCAGACTTAAAACCTTAATGAAGGTAGTTTCACTTTCAGCACTTTCACTTTTTTTTTTTTTTTTTTTACAAGCAACTTTTTTTTTTGTCAAACCTCAATTAAAGGATGCACCAAAGGCTATGTCCACATGGACAAGAAAAGTAACAACATGAAAAACAGTAGGTATTAGGCACTTAGCTATTTACATTTATATGTACTGTAATTTAGCAACATTTCTAGCAAAAGGTATACAATATATTTTTATGATTTCATTTAAGATTAAATTTTTTAGTAGCTTTTCTGAAGATTTCAGCAGATCCTCAGAATTACATTAGAATATCGCATGATCTACTGTTGTTCGTTTTCTATGAATGTTAAGCATCGCAGAATAGCTGCATTTATTTACTACCCTCCCCATTTCTCCCAGAATGGAGAGGAGAGAGGAGAATATGTTTTATTTAATTCAACAAAATGTTTTATACTTTCCTCAGAAATCATGTCTGTACAAACATTCTTAAGAACATTAACCATCAAACAATACTCGGTATTTAGACATGGGGGTATTACTTAATGCAGAGTCCTCCACTAACAAAATATTTCCAGTTACTTTATATAAAGTATACTCAAGATACTTTAAAATCTCCAAAGGAAATGAAATGTTGTGGCCCTTATAAGACATTTTTAATTAGTTATTTCAGATGCTGATCTGCTGTAGTGTCCTCAGACTGAAGACAATCTGTTTTACGATTATCTGATAAAGATGCCTTTCCACAATGTGCTTCATTTAATCTTGAATTATTCCATATAATACCTTCTCCAGAGGTTTTAGTGCACTTCCCAGAACAGAACCAATTCAATTTCAACTTAGTTTATTTATACAGCGCCAATTCAAAACACGTCACCTCAAGGCACTTTGCAATTCGATCAGATTGGTTAAAAGTTTTCTATCTAAGGAAAACCAACCCTCCATTGATTCATCCAGACTTCTTTATTAGCTTGTTGAACTTCTTTTTTGCTCTGATGCTGCCACCATAACACATGATGGCAGAAGGCACTATTCTTTCTCTGACATTCTAAGAGAAGATATACAGCATCTTGCTGCAGACACTGACAGATGAGAGTTAAGACCTGCTTAGTAATGGCGTACCATGCCCCAAGTAAAGGAGCATAACTTTTCATTTAATAAGGATAAAGCAAAGAATAACGCAAAACACAAGACAGACTCATGACGAAGTAAAAATGAGGCCAAGCAGCAGAGTGGCAGCAGGAGAAGCAGAAATACATCCATAAGGGAGGTGTGAAGATCTGAGCCAGCAAGAGAGAGAAGAGGTGAGAGATTAGCCAGAGAGCAGCAGATAATGAGTCCTGGGAAGACGGTGCTTTATATCTGCAGTTCCTAATCACCATCACCTGGACAGAGTAGGAGAAAACAGGATAAGCTCGCCAATGGGACCCAACTGTGGTAACACAGTTTGTTGTCTGGGTGATTAGTAGTGTTGCACTGATGCCAATTTTGGCCCCGATTCCCGATACCCGGCTGTTCAGTATTGGCCGATACCATACTGATACCATCTTTTGAAATTGATGTGTGTGTGTATACAGGTGCTGGTCATAAAATTAGAATATCATGAAAAAGTAGATTGATTTCAGTAATTCCATTTAAAAAGTGAAACTTGTATATTATATTCATACATTACACACAAACTCATATATTTCAGATGTTTATTTTGTTTAATTTTGATGATTACAAATGACAACAAATGAAAATCTCAAATTCATCATATTAGAATATTGTGAAAAGGTTCAAAATTGATGGCCCCTGGTGCCACACTCTAATCAGCTAATTAACTCAAACTACATGCAAAAGCCTTTAAATGGTCTTTCAGTCTAGTTCTATAGGCTACACAATCATGGGGAAGACTGCTGACTTGACAGTTGTCCAAAAGACGACCATCGACACCTTGCACAAGGAGGGCAAGACACAAAAGGTCATCGCTAAAGAGGCTGGCTGTTCACAGAGCTCAGTGTCCAAGCACATTAATAGAGAGGCGAAGGGAAGGAAAAGATGTGGTCGAAAAAAGTGTACAAGCAAGAGAGATAACCGCACCCTGGAGAGGATTGTGAAACAAAACCCATTCAAAAATGTGGGGGAGATTCACAAAGAGTGGACTGCAGCTGGAGTGAGTGCTTCAAGAACCACCACACACAGACGTATGAAAGACATGGGTTTCTGCTGTCGCATTCCTTGTGTCAAGCCACTCTTGAACCACAGACAGCGTCAGAAGCGTCTTGCCTGGGCTAAAGAGAAACAGGACTGGACTGCTGGTGAGTGGTCCAAAGTCATGTTCTCTGATGAAAGTAAATTTTGCATTTCCTTTGGAAATCAAGGTCCCAGAGTCTGGAGGAAAAGAAGAGAGGCACTTCATCCACGTTGCTTGAAGTCCAGTGTAAAGTTTCCACAGTCAGTGATGGTTTGGGGTGCCATGTCATCTGCTGGTGTTGGTCCATTGTGTTTTCTGAGGTCCAGGGTCAACACAGCCACATACCAGGAAGTTTTAGAGCACTTCATGCTTCCTGCAGCTGACCAACTTTTTGGAGATGCAGATTTCATTTTCCAACAGGACTTGGCACCTGCACACAGTGCCAAAGCTACCAGTACCTGGTTGAAGGACCATGGTATCCCTGTTCTTAATTGGCCAGCAAACTCTCCTGACCTTACCCCCATAGAAAATCTATGGGGTATTGTGAAGAAGAAGATGCAATACACCAGACCCAACAATTCAGAAGAGCTAAAAGCCACTATAAGAGCAACCTGGGCTATCATAACACCTGAGCAGTGCCACAGACTGATCGACTCCATGCCACGCCGCATTGCTGCAGTAATACAGGCCAAAGGAGGCCCAACTAAATACTGAGTGCTGTACATGCTCATACTTTTCATGTTCATACTTTTCAGTTGGCCAACATTTCTATAAATCCTTTGTTTTTATTGGTCTTCAGTAATATTCTAATTTTCTGATATGATGAATTTGAGATTTTCATTTGTTGTCATTTGTAATCATCAAAATTAAACAAAATAAACATCTGAAATATATGAGTTTGTATGTAATGTATGAATATAATATACAAGTTTCACTTTTTAAATGGAATTACTGAAATCAATCTACTTTTTCATGATATTCTAATTTTATGACCAGCACCTGTATATGAAGAACTGTACACTACTTGGATGTAAAATAATTGCCACCATGGCTTTGTCAAGCTGCTGCCTTCATTTGTGAAGCAGGATAAAGACTAATACAAAGTATTTGTACTTCATTACTGTACTTAAGTACACTTTTTAGGTATCTAAACTTTATTCCATTACTTATTTTTCCTCCTACTTCTGACTTCTGCTCATTACATTTTCACACCAGTATCTGTACTTTCTATTCCTTACATTTGTAAAACAAACGTTACTTGTTACTCTTGGATTCAGATTAATGCAGAGGTCACAGATTAGAGTATGGCGGTCGAGATCCGGACCCATCTGCTGGCTAATCCGGAAACAACCTGATTTAAAACATTTATAAATTACCACATGTTGTTAGTCGACATTGTCTAACTTCACTTGCGCTGCTTCTCCTGTTACCCCGAAATCCTACATCCTTCGTCTCAGCTCCGCAGCGCTCCAGACCTCCTGCGCAAAGCAAAGCCTACAGCCTCCGCTGTCCCTCCTGTATTGCTGTGCTCCGACATGCGTGATATTATCATTAAATTCGTAGGAGCAAAACAGGCTGAAATGAACGCTTAATTTAATATGACAGATTTTAAAAAATCCCCATCAGCATCAGCATATGTGCGGTTTCTGATGGAGATGTTGGAGTACCAATAGTTTGCATCCAATCTTTTAAATAAATGGTGTTATTTTTTTTCAAATATATAAGAATTGTGCTTAATTTGTAGTTATTACCAATCTGTTGTTAGTATACTTCAATTGGACCAACCAGATCTTCTCACAATTCTTTTTCCTGTTTGGTGTTGGAATAGCGGATCTTGACCTGGCCGGACCGGAGCGCAGCTGCACATTTAGAGTATGTTTGGCTCAACCTGCTGTTGTGAAGCAGGATTCTCCACCCTGAACAGAATCAAAAATAAATATGGATCGACGCTCAAAATGAGCATCTTGATATGTGCTTTAGAATGGCTTTGTTGCTATTCAGACCAAGGTTTAAAGCCTTGCAGGGCAGCTTAAAGCCCACTGCTCTGTTCAAAGTGTTTGAGAAAATATGTGAATCAGGAAATTGTCTAAATACAGAACTGAATGATTGTTGTTCTCTACTTAAAAAAAACCATTTAGATTTTAATATGGACATTTTTTTTTATATTTTTTTAAAATATTTTTTTATTCACAAATTCATTGTATAACATGGATGCATAAACACCTCATTTTTATTTCAGGGTTAAATTCTGTTTAAATTAATAGATCATTAAAAATGTCTGTGGACTGTTACTGCTTGATGATTTTCTTTATTCGGACACCGCTGATTTTTAATTGGTTACCAATGGTTTCATGTTTATAAATAATTATATCACGTCATGTTCGCCTTCCAATCCAGATCATTGGCACCTTCCACATCTAATGAAAACTAGTGTAATTGGATGAGTCATATAATGCAAACACTCATTGGTTAGCTATTTGTCAAATTTGTGCTGACGCCAAAGGAAATCATCAGAAGCAAGCAGGTGTTCTTCACACTGTAAATGTGAATTGTCTATGCCATGCTAAATGTCAGATTCAGAAAAAGATGTTGAAATGTCTGAAAGGTCGGACACAGGCGAGAGCGAATCAGGGGATGGAGACGGAGACCAAGAAGACCTCCCTCATCCTTGGCCTTTTTCGATAAAAAATTGAGCTTTTAATCATATAGTGGCATCAGGCTGTTTTTTTAAAGGTTACTTTATACTTTTATACTAAGTAGTTTTTAGAGCACATACTTTTTCACTTTTACTTGAGTAAAGAGGTCAAGTTGATACTTCAACTTTTACCAGAGTGTTTTTAAACTGCAGGCTACTTAAGTAACAAATGTATGTACTTTTAACACCACTGTGGATCGGGGCCCCGTCCAATACTGGTATCGATATCGGTGCAACACTAGTAAATAGGGAAGAATTTATACTTCTTCCTCAGCTCCACTTCTTCTACCATGATGGTAATAGTGTTTCATCCCCTTAATATTCAGGATGAGATGATTGTTTCCCCTCCCAGCGGTCCTCTAGTTCCCTGTACTCAGCTACTTTTTCATTTCTCACATACACAATGACTACAGTGTCGTCCAAGAATTCCTGTAGAAAACAGAACTCTGTCTTCTAGTTCGAGTAGTCTAACCTATACAGTTTAGGTCTACAATTTGTGAGTTCTCCAACTGAACATTGGACCTTTATTAAGCAGCAGTGTAAAACTTGTTTCATTCCAAAGAACAATGAAAAATCCAAGTTCTTCTGTATGGATTATAGCAGCTAAATGGGAAAAGGAGACTAGACAAAATCCTGCAGCATCATAAATAATTGACCAAAAAAAGCCTTAAAAGTCAAGATGATTACCTCAAATTAAAGATGCAGTCATGATGTGCTAATAGGACACAACAGATGTAATTCTGTACTTTCTTTTCTCCGTCAGGCTTTGATGTCTCTTTTTGTACTTGCTTCAAAAGACGGATGGGTGGATATCATGTATGATGGCCTTGATGCTGTAGAGGAGGACAAACAAGTAAGTATGTGCAGAAATGGACAGAACCATTTCTCCTGCATTTGTTTTTACCAGTTCCTAAATTTATGTACCTCCATTGACTCTAGGTATACATCTTTATCGTAGCCAGGGACCACTGAATTTGTTATCATGTAATTTTAACCAATGTGTAACTAGAACCCATAATTTTCTGATTAAGAAATCTCAAGGATGAGACTTTTGGGAAGGTAACACCTTTCTTATTTTGTGTTTTCCAGCCAGAGCTGAACCACAACCCATGGATGCTGCTCTACTTCATCTCTTTCCTCCTGATTGTGGCCTTTTTCGTGCTCAACATGTTCGTGGGTGTGGTGGTGGAAAACTTTCACAAATGTCGGCGTCACCAGGAGGCAGAGGAGAACAAACGCAGGGAGGAGAAGAGACTGAAACGAATAGAGAAAAAGAGACGGAGTAAGGAGAAGGAGCTGGCTGGTCGGTAGTCTTTCCACATCTTTCTGAGTCCTGCTTGAATTTGAGCTTGAGCCTTTTTCCTTTTCTTTGCTTTTTAATTTGGTTTGGCCGAATCTAGAAGAACGCAGTTAGTGCGCTAGCTCGAATTATAGTTGCTACTGTGCGGTAGAACCCTTCCCTTAATATTGACAATCCTTCTCCCTTTTTCCTTTAGCACCCCAAGACAGTTTTTGCAATGCAGTCTGGTGGTCATTGGCTCTTTCTCTGAAGACTTAACAGATTTCGGTCGCTGTTCTTTAATACTAGCATTCATTTTGCACTGTTGGTTTTCGAGAAGAGCTACTAAAGGGGGAAGGTTTCCAGAGTTAGAACAACTGACCACTGGAGTTTTTCTGCCATTCCTTTCCCACTGCCCTTACCTTGCCTGGTCTACCGTAGACACTGTGCTTGGGATGGCCCTTTGAAGCATGCCCAGTGGGTGCTGAAATACAGGGCTTGCATGGTAGTGGATACATAGAGCTAGAGGGAGGGGGACTTGTTGAATAATAAATAAGATGACCCCCCCCCTCCCTTCCTCTCTCCTGCATGTGGTTTAGTACAGCCGCAGGGGGCAGGGATAGACCACAATCTGGATGCTATACTTGAGCTAGAATATGAGATCACTGCAGAGTAGATTTGTAGGGCTGAGAGTTAATTGTCCCTCCCCTGCGGCTGTATAGGAGATCATTAAAAACTGCTTGTTTTAATTTTTACTCTCTCCACTGCTTCTTACACCTAAAAGCAAATGGTTCTGGCTCCTACTAGTCTTAGCCTTGTTTTGGATAAAGTGCCTACTTTAATGGTATTTTATTAGACATGCACCAATCAAAGTCTGATCTAAAGTTCTTGGAGTGAAACTTTGTCCTTGAGGTGGATTTTGGCTTCAACTATTTTTTACTTTATTTTGATGTTTTATTTTTTTGTAAGCCTAGGGGTTCATACACTGGCAAATTTAGATAAAGAAACACTTCAATTTTGCCAAAATAATATTATAAGTAAAAGCTGTTTAAGCATATTGAAGGGACTTAGTCAGAGTCAGCTTAAATCTGAAAAAGAGAAAATAGTGGAGGAGACTGAAGCTCAAAGGCAATGTGCAAACATGCCTTTAAGATTTTTTTAAAAGGGATCATGTGCTGTAATTCCAAAGAATTATCTTTCCATTGATTTTGTGGTTATAGTTATATTTTGAAATTATTAATTTATAAAATGTATAAAAAAGGATTTTTTTCAGAAATGCAACCTTTAGCTTTGTGAATTATCTTTTTAGAGGAGAATCTCAGATATCCTTTCAGATAATAATTTCAAGTTGAATAAAAATGATTTCAAGTCAATCTTCCAAGATAATGATCAAACAAATTTAGGAACAGCAAATATGTTTTTCTTGCTTCCTGCGATGACCAGTTATTCATATTAGAGTAATCAGGTATTAGAGTAAGCAGGTCGCTATCTATTTTTTTTAACAGAAAACTAAACAATAATGTGGCTGACTATTGAAAATGTCTTTACCCTGTCATAGTTGGATTTAGAACAGTTGGCAGGGTTAGTATTATTATTAAATAGCTCACTATGTTTCTACCCTTTAGACAACCACCATTTTTTCAAAATAATTAAAATGTGGTTTAAAGTTGATAAAAAAAAAAAAAGCAACTTCAACAGTACACTGCATTTGATCTTCTTGTTAGTTTTACTCTTTCTAACTGTCTTCCAATGGGAAAGAACCACATATATGTCATATGAACAACCTTTTTGTTTTAAACATGGTATTTACCTCTTTGGACTTACTTTATTTAAAACAGCTCTCAACTCCCACCTTGCAGATTATTGCCAGCATGAAGTCCTAGTGCTACTCACTATATTTCCACTCCATCCATTTGATTTTCAGATATTTTCACTAGATCTATTCTACAATGGTTTGGTGCACTAAGTGCAGAGAAGCTTTATTTGTTGCTTATTTTTGGTAAATTTAGTTTTTACCTATTTTTAATGACCAACTATTACCTAATAGTAGATATTTTGATTTATTTAGATTTTGTAATCTAATGAAGTTTCATTAAATCAGGCAGTCTTTAGTGATTTATTTGAAAAATCTAGACAATGTGATCGTTCAGTTTTCTATTGGTGCAATAGGATTTTAATTTATGTGCTATTTGGAAAAACAGAATAGACTTAAATTTGCTGATGTGGCTGTTTTAAATGATCTGATTGATTACAATAGCTACATATTTGCTCTGGATTTTGACACTGAGTGGAGTAGAACGGAACACAGTGTAAATGAGAGACAAGAAGATGTCTTCACTGATTGGAAATATGCGAAATTTTATAATTTGCAATTTAGCAGTCACACAAAATGAGACATTAGGTCCAATCTTAAAATAACAGACTCCAAGTAACAGACATTTTTTTGGTGCATCTCTGTATTTTACCCCAGATTCTAAAGGCACTCTCGTCTTTTTAACTGGTACAAGGAGCAGTGGACAAAATAGTTAACTAAACAGTAGTTTATAGAGTTTTTTTCTGTATGATAAGTTAAGTTCTTGAGAAATACAGATGAAAAATCAATGTTCCTTTTAAAGAAGGTTAATTAAGACACCTGCCCATTTACACACAGCATACATATTCAAAGTGTGTATTGGAAGGACGGGCATATCTTTTCCTGTCTGACTTCTACATTTTGTTGTTTTCCTTTTAATTTTCTTTTCCCCCATTTAGTATAAATTATACTTCCCTTTTCCTGGTATTGTACACGCTTCATAAAAGAGAGCATCCTGGTATCAAATCAATGCAAAAAGGCAATGTTACCTCAAGAAATTGATTTACAGGGCGACTTAATAGGATCTTGGGTATAGGTAGCTGTAAAAGTCCTGACTTTAAAAGTGGAATTGAAGGCCCTAACCCTCGCCAACCATATGCGCGTTGATCAGAAGAACTAGACTCAGAATCACTGGAAAGATCTAACACAGGCACACAAACCAGCTTAATCTCTCATTGATTTCTTCTAAACTTATTTCCTCCCTCTCTCCCACTATCTCTCTCTTTAACTCTCTTATTTCAAACTCTCAGCCATCCTTCCTTCCTTCCTTCCTTTCTTCAGCTTCTGACTAACACGGTCTCATTCCTCTAGATTTATTGGTTCCTGGTGTGAGTTGGGCCCTTTCTGACGGCACACTGAAAGGTACAGAGTTTCCAGCATGTTATATGTGTCCCTTGAAACACCTTCCCCCCGCTGCCACCGACCACGACCACCCACCATGGTGGCTAGGGTTCTAATTTCAGTGATCACGGGAGGTAGGGCCCCATCTTGCGTCGTCGCCCCCCTGCCTCTCTTCCATCAGCCTTCAATCCGCTGGACATACTGTTACCTGTTTTTTCTGTCGTGGCTTTGTCTTTCACAGCTGCTCCACTCTGCCTGCGATCCATCCACTGTCAGCAGCTCCGCACTGCAGCTCCTCTACTGCAAGAAAATGAGTCCTTAGCTAATTTTATTAAGTCTGAGATGGACTTGATTGAGACAGTGAGAGTTTTGTAATGGGAAACAAATAGAAAAGCTCTTCTATATAGAATTTAACAACCCCCTTATTTCTTATACATCAACCATTGCTTCCAAAATGCAACATATAGCCACACATTTCACAAAATGTCATCCCTCTGTTATATAGCAAAATCTGTATTACTAGAGACTGGTACAGTATGATAACCGACTAATTTAGTGATATACCAGTCTTTCAAGATAACATACAGCTTTTTAAAGCTCCTTCGCTTTATCTGTCATTGTGTTTCATATGCATGGCAGCCATGTTGGATATTGAAGTTAGGATTGATAACACACTTTGATTATTACCATTAAGAAATCAGATAATTTAGGTAGTTGTTACTATTAGTGTTGAAGACTAGCAGTGTCTTGCAGGAATTAACAACGTATTCCGCAGGTTTGAAATGACTGAATAAGTTGTAATATCTCAAAAAAGGTCAAAACTCAGAAAGAAAATAGAATAGAATAGAATAGAATAGAAAAATCCCTGTATTGTCCCACAATGGAAAACTTCTGGTGTTTATAGCAGCAAAAAGATTATAGAGACAAATGGTCACACAAATGTTGACCTTAGAAAAATGTATAAGAATAACATAATTGTGAAGGGTTACAAATAAACAAATGAAATACTGATCTGTTAAGTGTTTTAACAATAAAAACTGTGCATCTGGAGAATAAATAACCAATATACAGCTATGGACATTTTTACAGCAATGGTTATTTAAAATTTGCAGCAACATCAGAGATGTGCAAAAGCAGCAGCATGTTATTTAACTGACTAAGGTAGAAACTGTGCAAAGATCAGCATGAATAGGAACAGTGATGGTTATAAAGTCTTACAGCTGCTGAGAGGAAGGATCTGTTATAACGCTTCCTGGTGCATTTAGAGTGCAGCAGACTGTCACTAAAGGAGCTTTCCAGTTCTGCAACAGCTTCATGCATGAGGTGTTAGACATTATCCAACAGATATGTTAATTTAGTTAGAATCAAGATTCAAGATTAACACAAAAAGGATAAGTTTACCTAACTCTATATGGATTAGATATACAGTATTTCATTTCAACAGTCCCAAAGGAATGGATTTCTGGAATTAATGTGATATAACTATAATAGAACTTCATTATATAATGAGGAAAACATATATACTTGATCGTATCCATTGCTCCTCACAGTTTCTTAATTTTATTATCTTCCTTTGGAGGGATCATGTGATGGAAAACACTTTGTTTAGAATTAGTATATCTGATCTGAACCCTGAGCTCCCCATAAATCTGAGTTGATAGGGAGGATGACCAGGATAATACAAGGTAATCACGCAGAAAACAAACTCCTGTAAAAGCTTTAAAATAAGGCCCTGCTTTACTTGGTTTGCATGTATACAAAAAACAACAACAAAAAAAACAGCAATATTCAAACTTAGCACAGCTGCATAAAGTTGATCTATCCTGCACAAATTTGATCTACTAGCCAGGAATGGAAGGTTCTTTCTGAATGTTGCCATCATATAGATGTTGTTCATACAGGTCTAGTGCTGAAATATCATCTGTCTTTCTTGGCATTGCAGTTATGTATAAGAAATTGTCTTCGTCCAGATGGACTTTTCAACAATAGTAGCTGTTAATGCTGGACCAAAGGCCATTGTTAGTAGATACATTTTTCTTGTTTTTTTTTTTTTACCTTTCTCTGTCTAGTGTTTTATTAATAGTCAGCTTTCATTGTTCATGTTTTCAATATAAACACAGAGAGTTTGGCTTTGATGAACATTTATTACAACAGTCATATCCAATATTACCTCTCCACACACTGGACTGCTGTGGGTGGTCTACATTGTGAACTGTTCAGACAGAATTTGTATTTAAATGTTAGTATGAATGAACACTCAATAGAAATTGGATTTTAGAAGAAAATCTGAATTGAGCATCAAAACCTGCTGAGTGGGAAAAAAAAATCCTAAAATACTAAACATACAGCTGGTGTTACAATTGAAGGTTTAAATTAATGTAATCAATGATTACATGTTGTAATTTAATCATTGTGAAGACATTTTTGTTTCACCTTTGTTAAATGCCATTACAGCCTTAGGGGCATGAGTCTCTTAAACGTATTTGTTTCAATGACTGACAGTAAAAACATTGGCTGCTTTTTTAACTTTAACTCAGATGTTTTACATGAACATTTTACATAAGGTGTATAGGATGACTTCTCAAAATGTTATGTCTAAATAAGTCTAGATATGAAGGTAAACCAGTTTTTTTACAGTATCTGGCTTCTGATTACAGTGAACTAAACACAACTTAACTATTAAAAAACATAAAAGCCATATCTCTGTAACTCCATCTATAGAGTTATTTTAAACCATGTATAGTAAAAAAAAAATTACTTTAAGATTGACTTAGCCTTTTAACAAGTCTTTACCAAAGTTATTAAATGGCTTTTTTTAGGGACAACCCTTTTATTGACATTAAAAGTGCCTACATACAGTAGGTTAATATTTAAGCCGATGACACATATTTTAGCTCATTGGTGTAATATCCTTATTTTACAGCAAATTGTGTGTGATTGTTTTGAACTAACTTAATGAGCAAAACCTAGCTTATGCAAGTACTATTTTTTATTATTTATCTTTTTCTTTTAATATTGTAGTTCCATATATATTATATTAGGAGCCTTTGATTTTCATTTTAATATGTTAGAGAATTTTAGCTGTTTATTAATGAAGTAAAAATGCATGTCTCGTCCGCCACATCATGCTTGCAAGCAAGCAGGTTTGACTGCTTTTTATTTTTGAAAATTTGTTATAGAATGTCTTCATTGTGTTTATTTCCTTTTTTTATTGCATGAGCTTGGTTAATAAACAAAGATAATTAGATTCATTTGAATGAGTTTGCCCCTTAGTTTGCTTTGAAGCAACAAAAATTCCCCCATAACCTTTCAGAAAATATTCCATTAAATTTATTAATATGGCGCATATAGCGCAACACATGACACATCAAGGCACTTTACAGTTCAACTAGATCATACAGTCAAATTGATTCAAAGTTTTCTATCTAAAGAAAATCAGTTGATTGCATCGACTCATTGACTCGAATGCAATCCCTCACACTGAGCATGCTTGTAGCGACAGTGGAGAGGAAAACTCCCTTTTGAAAGGAAGAATCCTCCAGCAGAACCAGAATCAGTGTTCGCAGCCATCCGCCGATGCCGACTGGGGTTTAAGGAGACAGAAGCTGACATACAGTAAGAAGTGGAGATAAGAAAGGCAACTGTAAACCAGCTCCACATGCAGCCCTGTCCAGGAAACACACAGCCAGGCAGACGAGCTCCGAGCCAGCTCCCATGTCAAAGGAGGAGGAGAGCTAATCCAGCCAGTCAGTCAGAGAAACAGGACTACACTGAAAAACAGACCGATCTAAAAAATCTATAAACAAAGGTGTTGATGGCAGCAGTACAGCTTATATTTCTCTCCATGATGGCGTCACAGCCAACAGGAACAGACCAGATGAAGCTACTATAAGAAAAGCAGAGAGAGCATAATGTTAGAGATTGAACTAACAGATTCTGCAGAGAGGGAGAATAAAGATGGAATGAAGCAGAATGATGTCCCTATGTCCTCCAGCAGTCTAAGCCTATAGCTGCATAACTATAGAGATAGCTCAGGATAACCTGTGCCACTCTAACTATAAGCTTTATCAAAAAAAAAAAAGTTTTAAGCCTAGCCTTAAAAGTAGACAGGGTGTCTGCCTCACGGACTAAAACTGGTAGTTGGTTTAACAGGAGAGGAGCCTGATAACTAAAAGATCTGCCCCCCTTCTACTTTAGAAATTCTAGAAACCACTAGTTAACCTGCAGATTGAGAGCGAAGCGCTCTGTTAGGGACATAAGGAACAATCAGATCTCTGATATAAGATGGAGCTTGGCCATTTAAGGCTTTATATGTGAGAAGGAGGATTTTAACTTCTATTCTGGATTTAACAGGAAGCCAATGAATTAATTATAGGAGTCTGATTTATCCAGCACTAGCTATAGAAACACTTTGCAGCATCATCCTAACCTGTTTCTGTAGCTATCTGCTTAAGGTGGTGCCTTGACATATTGAAGCCACTGAGCAGCATCTCCCATAATGACAATCCTATCAATAGCTCAGTGTTATGAATTGTTTGTCATAGTGTGCTCATAGTGTTGTGTCAGTGAGAGTGCGCCATGAACAGGCACACAGACTGAGAAAGGAAATTTGACCGCTAGTTCAAACACTTGTGTGTTTATGTGCATATGTGAGCATGTCAGAGAGCAGATGGCTGTAGAACAGGTTGTAAAATATGCAGGAGCAGCCAGTTTTCCCTCAGATCCTCTCTCTATCTCTGTCTAGATTTCTGTCTGAGAGGAGACCCGCACTGCCATCTGATTCTAAATGCAACATATAGCCTCAGGGGAGAGCCGCTTGCTGGATTCTAATAGTTTTCCTCACATGTAATTATAAAACCGACAACACAGGAAACACAAAACCCCACAACTAACACCCTCCACACACTGTGTAAGTGGTGGGGTTGTGTTCAAAATAACACTTGTGTGTAAGTGGGTGCATGTGTGTCTTGGCCGTGCGGAGAGTGTTTGGGTCTGGCCTCTTATCTTTAGTTTGCACTGTG